TACCAAGAAGCACAAAAGCTTCCAAGCGGCAACACCCAGCAGCTGTACAGATGTTTTAATTCGAAGCCAGCTGATGTGCAGATAGGATTGCCTCTCTGATGAGAATCCATCATCTCTGTAGCCTCCAGGGCCCCCCGGCTCCTCCACTCATTCCCAGATGAGCCATACACCTCCCAGAAGGCCCATCAGACCAGCTCCTAGAAGGAAGCTAAGACCACGGCTTTAACAGGAATCCAACTTCTAGGCCTCAGGGTGGGCACAGGTTTGTTTTTTTTTTTTTTTTGATCACCCAAGACTGTGACCTTGGTGTGCTCCCTGCAGATCCTTGGTAGGTGTTTATAAGTGTGTAAACAGTGTGTAAATGCAGTCTCGGAGGGAAGGCACTGGTACAAGCATTAACTCTCAAATAAATGTCTATTTTTTCTTAACAAAATCAATAAAAAATGTTATTAAGAATAGAGTGTGGTACACTGGATGGGGTCAGCCTGAGGGAGCCTTTGTTGCCTCCAACCGTACACCACGGTTGACCTAAGGCTTGCTGAAAACTCGTGCATGTGCCTATCTGAGCTCTGCTTCCACACCTGCAGGTGGGGACGTGGCCCTGGACCCATTTTCTCTGCCGTGTCCACCTACCACACCAGGAAACTGTGCATGCATTACACACCCGGCACTAATCATTTAATCCATGTTACATATAAAGGGGCTAGGGCACAGAGAAGCTGTGTAACCTTCCGAGGGCACACGACTTTGAAAGCTGTTGATGAATGCACAGATCCTCAGGTGACTGCTTGCTGGACAGCAGGGTGACAGCCCCGTAGGAGTTTTTGACTACAGGGCCTCATCTGGGGCGACTTCAGATTCCTAGGGTCATCCTCCACCTGCTGTTCTTACCCACTTCCTCCAGAAGAGTATGGCTGGTCCTTAGCATCAGGACTCAGTTGCTCTTGGACAGGAAAGGGGAGGCGAACATCTACACCCAGGCGACCTCAGTTCTCTAGAAAGTCACCACCCAGCTGTGGTACTGGTGAGGAGCACGGGCCCTGCAGAGTGTGGGCTTTGTACCTCCACACACTCACACCACACACACACACACACACACACACAGAGTGGGCTCTGCACCTACACACACACACACACACACACAGAGTGGGCTCTGCACCTACACACACACACATACACACACACACACACACAGAGTGGGCTCTGCACCTACACACACACACACACACACAGAGTGTGGGCTCTGTACCTCCACACACACACACATACACACAGAGTGTGGGCTCTGCACCTACACACACACACACACACACAGCATGGGCTCTGCACCTCCACATGCTCACACACACACACACTCAAACTCATCCACACAGTGTTGTGGGTAAGAAGCATGGCCTCTGTCCTGTGGGGCAGACACTGGCCAGGCTGTCCCCTAGATCCACCTAGTCCCTTAGACCCTGCTTGGCCCAGATCCTGCCTCTGGGGGGATGTACAGAGTGGCCTCATCTGGTGATGGAGCCAGTGAGGGTGTTCACACTGTGGCTGCCCAGAACCAGACCAGGCGAGTGAGGCTAGATGGAGAAATGGCCTAGGGTAGTGCTCTTCAGATGTCCCCATGGCCCCTTTGTTCTGCTGGCTTTCATCTTCGCAGCCAGGAGATGAAGTTGGGGAGCACATGAAGGAGCAGGTGTGTGGTGGCAGTGTTCACAAGGAAGCCCCAACCCTGAGGACCTGCTACAGGCTGGGGAGTTTGGAGAGGGCTGCATGCCCACCAGTGCCCAGGGCTGTCTCTCAGCTCACAGCCCTGGCATACGGGCAGCTCTTGGCAGCCTTGTTTCATAGGAACAGCAACAACACCAATGGTAGCCAACATATTTGAGGCTGGCTCTCTGCCAGGGAGTTGGGCCTGTGGGGGGTGGACACTGGTCCTAATTTGCTGTAGGTGCCCTTCTCCCAGCACATTGCATGCTGGGCCATGGTTCTGTGGCAGGAAGACCTGGGTTCAAGTACAGGTTCCACCATCCTCTCCTCCCCAATCCAAAGCACCTTCTCATGAGCCACCCTGGCTGTGTTACCTCAATGGAGCTTAGGCCCTGACACAGGCTCCCCTGCACAGCAGTGGCACCTTCTTCCAGGAGCTGTCCCAGCACCCAGAGCTTGGGTCTCACAGTGCATCCCTCTCAGGAGACACTCAGCCAAGTCTCCTAGTGACCATCATTTCATGTACAGACTTAAGAGCGGGATGCACAGACCTCGGGCTGGATATCACTGGCAGGGACTCTTTCCCGGAACAATAAGCCTGCCCCTGAGTTCCAGGATGTGCTCTGCCTCAGTTGATTGCTCCAAAAGCATCTCGAAGCCACTGACTGGACAGAGAGCCATCCTCCACTCCACTCCTACCCCCGTCTTTGTGGTAGGACGGTCCCCTTTCTACCAGTCTGAGACTCTTCACCCAGCTTGATTCCTCCCTGGCAGAGGGAGAGGAAGAGAAACACCCCAGGCTGCCCTGTTGCAGCTTGGCCTACTTCCTCCCTCTTCCTGGTCACACAGCTTGGCTAGATCCACAGCCATCAGCAGACCCCAGTCCTCCAGGAAAGCGAAGGTGATAGTGCGGGAGCGGGGTGGAGAGTCGTCCAGGAAGGACTGGCCAGGGGACAGAAGCTGTGCTCCCTATGGGTCTGCATCCAGCCTTCCTGACTCTGTGGCTTTCTTGTATGGGGTTACGTGGGTAACCTCCTGGGATGGTATGTTTCTCCGCCGTGTTACCCCGTGGCAGCACCGTGTGCAGCTGTGTTCCATGTGTGCACGTCCTCTGGTGGGTGACTCCTTTCAGAAGGGGCCAACTGCAAGTGTGCAACGGGGCAGGATTCACACCCAGGCCTGTCCAAATGCACATCAGAGTGCTTGGTGCAGCCCTCACTTCCTCCCTTGCAGCAGCGGCTCCTGCCAGCCTCGTCCTCAGGCCTGGCAGCAAAGGCCCATGAATCAAGCTGACATTTCCATTACCTAGGAGATGAGTATATGACCGGGTCCGGGTGCTGCGGTGGGGGTGGGGTGGCAGGGTGCCCACTCATCAAGACCACAAACCAGGGAAGAAGTGGAGACTGGGACCTGCCCATCAGCTTTGGCCAGGGAAAACTGCCATGGGTTTGAGATGAGGGCATCAGGGAGCCTGCAGCCTTAGTCTGAGGATGGGGTTGTGTCGTGTACCCAGACGTAGGTATGGATGCTGTGCACTTCCTAGCGTGGTCTCTGTAAACTGTGAGCCTGGCCAAGGTCAGCTTCTGAAGCTCAGTGCCCAGATGTGGTCCAGACTTGGGAAGGATAACAGCTCAGAGTGTGGAACAACGATGCTAAGCCCGTTCAGACCAGCCCTCTGCCTCCCTTCCTGGACTCTGGGTGGTTTGGGGCCCCTCCCGGGTTTCAGACCAGATGGTACCTCCTGGTTGTGGCTCCAGGAAGGACACACAGTGGTGTTAACTCCCAGCAGGAAGAAAACCCTTCAGAAGGTGACTGTGAGACCCATGACATCACTAACCTGGAACTGCTTCCTTTTCTCTAGCCAGCAGCCTTCCTGCTGTACTGGGGGACAGTTGGGTTCCAGCCGCTTCCCTGAAGGACCCGAAGCCTCCTGGCCCCATGCTCATTCTCTTTCCCTTCCCTCCTGACAATGGCCCCCATTCCGATCACCCACATACCATAATCACAGACCACTTGCATGATTATTTATTTAGCATTTTTCTTTAAGCCAGCTCTTTCTACTGAAATGCCTATTATGGTTCATTCTAACTTGCAACGCTTGACTCTGGAGCGTGGACACGCCCACACAGTTTTCTAATACACATTTACATAGACACAGCTATTAAAACAGATGACAGATTTGCAACTAAAATCATCTCCTGGGCCTCCTGGGGCCCATGAGTGAATCACAGGGTCCCTGGATGACACCATCAAGACCTACAAGGTTCCTGGTGGTGGGCCAGATTCTCAACTAGTGACCTCGCTCAGGATCCCTCAGAGTGGCTTGCACTCACACAAGGCCAGTGTTGCAGCTCCCCGTGCTGGCCCTCTGGTGCCTTCATAGCTGTGCAGGGCTCTGCCCAGGCCAACTTCGTCTCCCCCACAGCTGCCCACACCAATCATGTGAGTGCGGAGTGGGAGAGAGGCGCCCTCAAGAGTGGCTGAGCACAGCACGCATGAACACAGAAGTGTGGGGTCCCCCCTTTACTCCCAGACGCTCATCTCTGCATTCCCATGTCCTCCTCCCACACCAGTCCCTCCTCTTGGCCCCTGACCCTCCTCCCACACCTGACCCTCCTCCACAACCTCTCTGCTCAGCCACAGCACCTTCTGTCACTCAGTGCCCTGAAAGGACCTGGGAGTCCCGCCTTGGGCATCTGCTCTAGTCCAGAGCTGGGGTGACTTTCAAGACTACACACCTTGGCCAGCCCCACTCTGCTCAGAGCCCCCAGCTGTCCTCAGGATGAACTATGGGCCCCTCCTGAAGCTCTTAGTCCTCTCTCCAGCCTCCTGCCACCCTCACAGCCCCATCTTCCTCCACACTTGTCATTTGGACCATTTGAAAGGCCTTTCCTGTCCTGCTCTGCCCTCCACAACCTGACACCAGCAAGATGGCTTGGGTGTCATTCCCTTCATCACCTATCAATCACTCAGGTGGTCTCCAACAGGCCCCGCCTCAGCCCTATGGCCCCATTTCCCCTCACTGACATGATGGCAGTGTGCTCTCCATGATCCAGACTCTATGTCACCCTCCAGCAGCTGTAAGAGGTAGATAGAGTGAAGACTCCCATCTGTAGGGAAAGGCCCCTGGGGCTGAGGAGAAAGGACCTGATGCTAGGCAGCCTGACCCCAGGGCGGGTACCACACCCAGCGCACACACACACACACACACACGCACGCACGCACGCGCACGCACACACACACACACATACACGCACGCACACGCACACACACGCACACACATGCACACACACACGCACACACACATGCACGCACACGCACACACACGCACACACACATGCACACACACATGCACGCACACACACACACGCACACACACACACGCACACACGCACACACACGCACGCACAGCTGTCATCTCCCATTTCATCACTTGTCTGCTTCTCCGGACATTTCAGTGGCACACAGTAGGGGGCACGTAGAAGACACCTGTATGCAGACAGTTGCATGGATGGGTAGCTGGGTGATGAAGACGGCTGGTACATGGGCGGATAACTGACAAGAGGAATGGCGATGAAGGATAATGGATAGGTGGATCATGGGTGAATGGATAATTGAGGACAGAGAGATGGATGATCTTATTCATGGTTAATGGATGGATGGACAGGTAGATGGATGCTGGATGGGTGGATAGGATGGATGGTTGGATAGGTGATGATGGATGCATGCTGCTAAATGGATGAATGAATAGATGGATGGATCATAAATGTATGGATGGATGTTGGCTAAATGGGTTGTGGTACAGGGATGGGAGCTGGGCAAATGATGGATCATGTATGGATGAGTGGGTGCATGGATGACGGTGGGTGAATGTTGGCTAAATGGATGGGTGGTGGGTGGGTGGGTAACGGCTGGAGAAGACCACATTCTGCCTCGCTCCGCCAATCTCTAGAAATCCTTCAGGGCAGGATGGGTCCTCTTGGGAGACTTAACTGGGAGCGAGTCTGATTTAAATTCACTCCCCCACATGTCAGCTCTAATCTCAAGCAAGAAACTTCGCTCTCTGGACCCCAAACTCTCACGGTCAAGACAGGAATTGTTTTTCACCAGGCAGATGAGCCAGAACTTTTATGTAAAGTGGCCACAGACACAGGGTAAAAGATCCCCAGAGTCAGGGTGGTGTCACATTGCTGAGGTTCCCGAACACATGTGCTCTCTCCAGCTCCTGGCCTGCTCCTCCTGCCATGCTCAGGACTCTGGTGCTCTGCCCACCTGTCTCTAGCCTGACCACTGCAGGCCATCGATGGATGTTTGCCCTGACTTCAGGGCCCAGGGCTCACACCTCCAGGGCAGGGTGATGATGAGGGAGCCAGCCCACACACAGCAAGAGAACAGGTTCAACAAGTATTTATTGAGCCCCTGCTGTGTGCCTGCTGTGACCCCTGCAGAGGCAGTCGCTGCCTCTCCATCAATAAGGCCTGCTCGCTGTCCCCACAGGGCCCTGCCTCTCTGGGCATCTGCTTGGCTTTGTGTCTGATCGTGGGTGTCCGATGTTCAATGGTCAATGCCCATGTCCTTCCTGGCTTCCCAGCTGGGTGGGGCTCTAAGCGTGGCGGTGGCTGCTGCCTCCAAGTCTCTGTGCAGCCCGTACAGTCCCTCTGGCCTGCCCGACCCGTCTGTGGGGCCCCAAGACCCAGGCAGCGGTGGCAGTATAGGCCTGATGTCTCCGTGACTGGAGAGCTGAGTCCACAGCACACACACCAGGCTTCCATGTCCTGTGGGAGGGGTAGTGCCAGCGATGGCAGAAAGGCAGGGGCTGGCTTGGGTCACATCACACCCAGTGCCCCAGGACCCAGCACTGACGGTTTAGCTCGGCTGCCTCATGAGCTGAGCTCCGTGGCCAGGAGTCCCCCATGTGTGGCTGGTGCCCTGCAAGAGACAAGGCAGACATTACTGACAGTGGCTGTCTTCCACCTCTGCCACCTTGGCCTCTGGCCCAGCCCTAGCTTCCTTCGGCTCCTGTCAACCCACCATGCTGCACTGTCCGTCCACAGACTCCCCAGCACACGGAACCCCAGCCTGTGCTTGCTGCCCGCCAGTGTATCCCACCAGCCCCCTCACACACAAGCCCGCTCACCCACCCAAACCCACGCATGCCCCTCTCACCCTCCAGCCCCCTGCAGTCCATCATTTCCTTTCACTCCTCTCTCTACACCCACATCTGCTGTGATCTAGACACTGGGGCGCTAACCCTTGCACCCACCGGCACACCCACCAACAGTCTGCCACCCTGTCTGCCCTAACCGTGTGTGTGTGTGTTCATAGGCTCAACAGTGCATAGCAGACTGACCTCCCATTCCTACCATCTAGTCACTCCCTACAACTGTCCCTTCAACCCTCCTCCCAGTAGGTTCACGGAGTCCTCCCTACCCCATTTACCACCCACCCACCCATCCATCCCAGTTCCTTACACTACCGTCTCTCCACCTTTCCATCCAACCATCACAGCCATGCTCCTCGTGGGCCCGGAGGCACCTCAGAAGGAGTGTGGGCCAGAAGGCACTAGGAGTGGGTGACTCCATACCCCCTAGGTTTCGTGCCCCACCCCAATAGTAAGTATGTATCAGTAAGCCCAAGTTAACCCTGAACACATTGTCCCCACCCAACCCCTGCCACTGCCCTGCATTTAGAGACCTGGAAAGGTGAAGGACAGCCCTTCCCCATCCCACACACTCCCTCCTGTGCCCAGTTAGCTCTTGGCTCTACCCCACCTTCCCTCAGGAGCCTCTTTGAAGTCCCTCTGATGTACCCAAGCCATCCCTGTCACTCATTGAGGACCACTGTCCAGTGTCCCAGCACCTGCCATCCAGCGGAATCCTGGAGGAGCCTGCCCTGACATCCTCCCCTGCCTGTCAGACCAAAATGCTGTCCCTATATTATCTAAGAGGGGACAGAGGTCCACCCCAGCTCAACAGCTGGGTCAATGAGGCAGCCATATGGAGCTAGACAGGCCAGTGCTTCCAACCGTCTCCATGAAGAGTCCCTGTGCTTTCCACTCTGAGCTCCAGCATACGGAGGCATCCTCCAGAGTCGGACGGCTCTTGTAGAGAACCCATTAGGATGAGATTCTGAGCAGACACTTGCAAACCTCTCAGGACAGAGCTCACTGCCCGTCCGTCCCAAGGCACTGGCCATTCAGTGCTGTTCTCTGGATGCAGAAGTTGGCACAGGCATGAGGAGGTTGTCATTTTGTTTTTTCGGCTTTTCTCCCCTTCTGTTTTTAATATTCCTTAATGTTACTGTTTTGTACATTTTGCTGTACATTTTTTAAAGGAGTGAAAAACATTTTGCAAACATTCTGGAATCATTTGGCCTTGGGGGAGGAACATTTGTTCTGGCCCCAGCTACCAAAACAGTTGCAGTCTTTGAATGAGCTTGTTGCCAACATAAAGGTGTTTGGTTTTTTTGTTTGTTTGTTTGTTTTTCCCTCTCTCTCTTCTAATGAGAAGCAAATATTTGGTGCATAGAAATCTTTGGCTGTTTTTCTAAATGAGTACTTAGAAATGACTGTAACTGCTCTCACAGGAGCCAGCAGGCAGAACGGCAAATGGGAACAGAGAAAGTGGGTCTGTGGTTTTGAAGGAGGAGCAGGCAGCATTCATCTCACTCCCAGGGATAAAATGAGGCTTTCTGACCCCTTGCTCTATGTGGCCACCCCCATCATGGACTGGGGCTCCCCTCATTCTCTCACCTTCTAGAAGGTGCTCAGGGCCCAGAGCCATTGGTGTTAGGTCTCATCAGCCCGGCAAAACCCTCCCTGACCCCCTTTTCTCCTTCTCTTCTGGTTCCTTCACTTGAAGAGCATCTTCAGCCACAAAGGCCTTGTGCTGAGATTTGGGGATCTCAGCTCAGCACTGCTTCTAGACCCAAGATGATGCCACAAGTGGGGACAGAAGCAGCCTGCTGCACTTCAGACAATATTACCACAGGAAATCTGGGTTCAGATCTTCCAGAAGGTTCAGAGACACTGAAATTTCTGATTTTAAAATAAAACTGTCTGGCTTTACATGATGACAATTAGCGTGTTTAAAGTATTCTCAGGGATACTATAGGCCATAAAGCCCGACTTCACCCAAGGGAGGCTGCCTGTGCTGCCTGACTGTTTCCCAGCCTGTCTTTGTGGACCCTGTCCTGTGGTTTCCCATACCCTGTCCTCTGCTGGAAATGCCCTCTGGTGTGTCACTGGACACTAACTATCCCTACCTTCATCCCGTATTTCCTGTACTCTCTCTCCTGGGAAACACTGAGATAGATTATCACTGTGTTGAGAAGCTAGCCTCAACTTTATGATCCTCCTGCCTCAAATTACGTTGGATTAAAGGCCATCACACACAGACCCTTTCTTTTAAACTGATATCAAACCACGGACACATGTAACATCTGACCTGTTCCAGCCCAAGCATCCGATCCCTCTGTGCCAATACCTGTTTTGATCTTTCCTGAGGGCAAAAAGGTCCATCTTCCTGCCCCAGGACTTGCTCACAGGATCAGGCTACATCTGCTAGTACAGCATGAGCTCATCAGGGTGGGAGGCCCTTCCAGACCAAGGATGTCAATGCTTCCAGGAATATGTGCATGGGAAAACTAGGGCACTCAGAAGGGAACTGACTTGCCCAGAATCGCTCTGTGACGGGTAGAATGTGGGCAGGAGGCTCCAAAGGTGGACAAGTGGCTGATTCAGTGGATTTTATAGTTGCCTACATTAGTGGAGAGCCTGGGGCATTTGGGAAGCAGTTTCTCTCTCTCTCTCTCTCTCTCTCTCTCTCTCTCTCTCTCTCTCTCTCTCTCTCTCAGGGGTGGGGGTGACTAAAGTGTGCAGCACCCACTGTCCGAGGTTCTGAAATCCACCTTCTAGGACTCAAGGCCGCCCTTTAGTCTCTAGTACCTCAAGCTAACCTCAGGCCCTAGCAGGGCTGAGGATGTAGCTCAGTTAGAAGAGCACTTGCTGAGGTCAATCCCCAACACCGTGTCAACTGGATATGGGGACACACACCTATAATTCCATCTCTCTGGAGGTAGAAGCATGAGGATCAGAAGTTCAAGGTCATCCTTGGCTACGTAGAGAGTTTGAGGCCATCCCAGGCTACATGAGATCCTTGTAAAGGAAAGAGAAAGACAGAAAGATAAAGAGAGAAAGACAAACAGACACAGATAGAATGTGTAGGGGATGATGGAGAAAGAAATTAAGGCTAATGTTGAGGCACCTGGCTTTGGTGACCCAGCAGCTAGAGACACTGTCACGCTCTAAATGAGCCAACATCAGTGTGGCCCTAACTCTCCATATGCCACTACCATGAGGGGGCTCCAGATGTACCGTGGCATCGGCAATTTCAGTCCCCATTTCCTCCTGTCACAGCAGGACAAAGGCCAGCTCTGCTGGTGTGCACAGTGGGCTCCTAGCCACTGCCTCCATGCTGATGGTACTTCTGCTGAATGAATGATGTAGGTTCAGGACAAAGAACAGGCTTACACGGACCCATGTGAGAGGGAGGGGAGGTCTGTGGAGGGTGTTTGTGCTGTGTCGGGGACCTTGTGCCTCTGAACTATCACTGACCCTGCTCCCTTCCTCATACCTGAGATCAGGCTGGGTCTATTTGGTGCATCTTCCCCAGAAACACCAATCCCTTGGATTTTTTTTATCAGGCACGTCCCCAGTGAGACAGGCACATATGGGAACGACTGCCTGCCTTCTAGATGCTTACAGGGAGGGGGCAAAGACAGGCACAGCTACAAGAGATGGCAGCAGCCCTAGCACAGCTGTCCCTGTCACCTGGGACCAGTTCCTATGATCTGCACCCTGTTTGGTAGGCACTGGCTGTTGCCGCACCCATTCAGAGCTGAGAGACCTTGGGGACATAATTTGTCCAAGGTGTTGGCCCTGGACTCACAAGTACCATGAAATCTTGATTGTCGATACACTAGACTGAGAGATGCCTAAGAAATTGGGGTGCTTGTGGGTGTGTTTCCAGAACCATTAGATCACCAGGGCTCTGACCAATGTGTCCAGTTAATTCACTGATGAATTAAAAATCTGCATAGACTATTGGAAGGGGTAAACTTGGGGAAGGTGGAGCCTGCTTAAAGAAGGTGGGTCATTGGGGCGAGCCATTCAAGGGTATGTTGACCCTAGTCCTGTACTGTTTCTATGTCCTTGCTGCCAAAAGGAGTGACTCTTCCCCCACATGTCCATCTACCATGATCCTCTGCCTCAGCCAGGCTCACAGCAACAGGGCCAAGTTGACATGGACTGACACCTCTGAAACCATGAGCCCAAATTAACCTTCCTCCCATAGGCTGCTTCTATATGGTGTTTGTCATGGAAATGGGAGTCTGACATGTCCATCCTTTCACTGCCGCAGCAGCAGATGGTAGCACATGGAGATACACACAGCTCTCGATGCAGGGATGCCAGGTGGTGGTGGCCATTCCCAGACACAGCAAGTGGACTTTGCAATAGCTCCAGATTCTACTGCTGTTTATTTACTGCCCTGTTGGAGGGCAGGGACAAATCATTTCAGGCAGAAGTGACAAGGTATCAGATAGATGCTTGGCAGGCTGGAAAGCGTTTAAGAGGTGTGAGTGCCCAGCAATCTTCCCATTGGGGGAAGATAAGCAAAGCACAGCAACAGAAGAAGGGGTGACGGCACCAGGTGCAGAGGCCCACTCTCCCCGTCTCTAAGGTTTTAGGAGTCTGTCACAAGACATATCATACTTTACAAGCAAGGCTTCTACACCTCTCCAGCCAAGGAATTGACTCTCCAGGGAAGTGTACAGATTCTTCTGTTTGCTTGGCTTCTGAGACATAGCCAGACACTATGTCACCCAGGCTGGCCTCAAACTTGTAATCCTCCTGCCTTATCTGTGCTTAGTCCTGCGCTGCAGCAGCCTGTGTTTTAATGAGAATCCCAAAGTGTTTCTTGGCAACAGGCATGGCTAGAATACTATTACCTGGGAACAAACATCATACAAATAGGAAAGCATCGGCATTGGCTAGCTTAGAGGTGGTCAGGCTTGTGACTGTCTCTAGAGCCAAGTTCCTTTATGGCAAGACAGATGCTTCTGACTTCACAGGGACCAAGCAAGTTAAATCGTTACCAGAACTGCAGGGGGACCTGCTGTGGGGATACGCTGCGCTACCACTGTTGGTACGGGGTCCTGCATTGGCAATACCAACACTCTGGTAGGGAGACAGTGGAAATAAGCAGTTAGCAAGGGGCTCAGAGAGAGGGAGTGAGCCACAGACGAGACGGAAGAGGTTTCTGGGGAGTGCTGTGTGCCACCCTTGCCGCAGGCAGGGAGGGGCCTGGCTCTGGAGCTGGGATGATGAGGTCAGGTTAATGTTTCGTGAAGATGGATGAAGGAGACTGAAGCAAAGATTCCCACCTTCACGCTGCTGAGTGGCCCAGCCTGTGACCCCAGGCAGACGGCTGCAGGCAAGAACCGCTCTGAACTGGGTCCGAGACCAGTGGACCCCACCGGCAGAGGTGAACTGTTTGGAAGGCAGACTTATTGGGCACACACCTGTCGTCCCAGTTCAGATAGTGGAGGCAGGAAACTTGCAAGTTTGAGGCCAGCCTGGGCTACATAGGGAGATGCTGCCTCAATACAAAACGTGGAACCCCAGCTTGAGCCCAGATCATTCTTTGTTCAACTCTCCACCCCAGTGTGATACCAAATGGGACCCCTGACCTCCAGATGGCAGGTCTCCTAGGTCCTCAGGCTGCATGCCCGTCTGTGCCCAGCAAATTGGCCTTGATATTTATTTTGAAAATATGGTCTGGTTTGCTTCCATTTTAATAACAGGAGGGACACTGGAAGTGTTCTATTGAATTTGATTTTGATCTAATCAAAACGCCAAGTTGCTCTGGGCCCACAAAAAAAATCTCCCTTAAAATTCGCTCTGCTGTTCTGAGGGCAGCTGTAGACAAAGCCCATTCAGACAGCGTTCCCACCAGCTGCCTCTGCGCCCAGCAAGCAACAAGCTCGTTCGGAGCCCTGCCTTTCAGACACACCTGGCAAATCAAACACTTGTCCCGGGCATCATACTTGACAGGAGCCAGGAGCTGCAACCCCGACTGCCCCAGAGGACGACACAGACACCCAGATCGGATGGCAGCATCGCCTCCGTCAAATGTCACAGCTGATGTGCTCCTGAGCTAGCTGGTGGGCTGGTGGCACTGAAAAGCCCCAAAGGTGGGTTTCAAAGGCAGCCTCTCCCCAGGAGCAAAAAGACGGTGGCAGTTTCTGTATCATAGAAGGACGGAGGGGAAGAAGACAGCAACCTTGGCAGCAGTCAGAAGTAAAAGAAAGTTTATATAACTCTTCATGTCAGAGTAGCTGCTCGGGGAGGAAGCGGCGGGAGACACACAGAGGTGCAGGGGCACCGACTGAGCCCTGACGGTGCTCACCGACCTGGTCTATAGACACAGGCAATATGGACAAGGTGTTTATCAGAGAGATGTGAGAAATGGGAGCCACGTGCATAACAAAATGTTAAGCTGGAGAGGGACAAATGCTGAAAAGAAAAGAGCTTTAGAGGGGGAGCACAGGTATACCAAGACCCCCAGAAGGGAAAGAGCTTGGCATGGTGTAGCTATTGCCCAAAGTGGCAAGAGGGAAGGGAGAGAGGAAGGTGGGGAGATGGGGGCTCTGGGGAGCCCATAGGGAGCAGAATGTCTACGTGCCAGGCTGCGTTTCATTACAGACTAGATAAAGTGAGGTCACTGCTCAGCAAAGTTGCCTGGTAATTCTTCCTTCTTCAGCCCTCTGGATGGATCAGTCATCAGAGAGCTAGCAGGCAGGAGCTTTTCAGAGCGCACGCAGCAAGTGTTTAATAACGTGGCTCCCTGACACCCTCCTCCCCCATGCCTCCTGCCGACAAGCTGTCCCCGGCAGGAACTGAGCAGCTGCTTCACAAGGAAATATTGCAAAACTCGCCCAGGCGGTTCCAAAATATTTTCTGGGCAGCAACCCCACAGCCGCTAAGAGGCCGGTTCTGGGGACCGGCTGCTTCTCTAGGCTGTTAGCACTTTGTTCTTGCTGGGCCCCCATCCTCAGGACCCCGCCTGGGGAGACGGGTCCACACAGACGGTTCCTCCACACTACTGAGCCTACACGCCCTCTGATATGGCCCGACTATATGATGTTGGATAAGCCCCAGTCTTTTGATTGGTTCAGACAGAGTCTCACTATGCTGGACAGGCTGGTCTCTAACTTACCATCTTTCTGCCTTGAGCTATGAATATTGGGACGGCAGGAATGTTCCACCATGCCTGGCCAGAGCTATTTTTAGCCTCCCCAGGATTCCTTGTCTTGTGTGCCATGGGGTTAAATTTACTCACAGTGAGTGAGAGAGCTCATCCTCTCTAGCCCCTGGGCTGTGCCCGAGATAAGGTGGCACACTCTGATGTCACTGGGGACATCAGCAGGGACCCCACTGTGGCTCTCGCCACACTATGCAGTAACAGCATGGATCTTGCCTTGCTTGTCTCTCTGTGTCTGGGGCCCACAGAAGTCCATGAGTAGTGAGAGTGAGTGGATGGATGAATGAGTAAAGGAACAAGTGAATGCCTTTTGATCATCACAGAATCCGTCTCTTCAGATAAACAGATTCCTTCCTTGGCTATCCATCCTCTGTACTCTGGTGGTCCCCAGAAGCCCCAGGAAGGAGTGCAGCTATCTCTACCAACTGCCCTGATGAAGGACACATGGCCAGAGATGTCGGGCACTGGGCTCTTTTCTCCCCCTGGGAAGCCAGGGTAGAGAAAGTCTTCCTACTTGCTTCTTGGAGCCCTAGGGCACAGCTCCCCGTACCTGCCCTTCTCCACAGATGACCTTGTAGTCCCTCAGTGCCAGCTGCCCAGTTTGCATCCCTCCTATGGGCCTGTGATCTCCTTCCATCCGGCCTCTACCTCAGAGATGCCCACCCCCACAGCCAGTAGACTCAACACCCACCAAGCCTCAAGGTTTCTTGGCAAACTCTCCTGTTGGCAGTCACACACACCTTTGAAGGGTCCCACAGGATTCTGTGCAGCCCCACGGCTCCTTTCTCCCTGCCCTTGCTTCAACTTGTGTGGTCATGGGGGCACACCTGCCAAGCGCCTGGAAGCTAGTTCATGATTTTACATTCTGGCAGCCACCTTCAATGACCCACAGAGCTCTTGCCACAGCTGGGGCAGTACCAGGCCTGTGTCACTGCTCTGATGTTCTCTGCTAGAGCCAATGAGTTGCCGCTTCCTTGAGTCCCATCCCCATTCCAACTTGTGATGTCTGGATTCCCTAAGCAAAACAGTTCTGCGGATGCAGCCTTGTTATTGACGTTGTGAGTGTGCATGTATGTGTGTGTACATGTGTGTGCATGAATCTATGTGTGAGTGTATGAGTATGTGTGTAAGTGTGCAAATGTGTGTGAGTGTGTATGTGTGACAGCCTGTGTGTGTATGTGTGTGTGAGCATGTGTGTGAGAAAGAGAGAGAGAGAGAGAGAGAGAGAGAGAGAGAGAGGAGAAGAGAAGAGAAGAGAAGAGAAGAGAAGAGAAGAGAAGAGAAGAGAAGAGAATATGGTGTGTGTCCGGGTCTGTTCCCATAGAAGCCCAGTCTTAGCCACTCTGACAATGTCATCAAAAAGCTCTCAAATCCATGCTTCTCTCTGGCCACACTCAGACCACTGCCATGTCCCCTAGGAAAGAGGGACTTACCCAGCCTCCAAACTGGCCTGCCTACAGCGTGCACTGCCCTCTACCTCTGGCTCTGAGCTCACTGCAGAGGCATGTGCACGGAGAGAAAGGCTAAAGGCAAAGGTAGACAGGTCAACAGAGACCTTCAACAAATAAGGTGGAAAGGGAATCCAACAAAAGATAGATGATAGATAACAGGTGGAGAGATAGATGAGAGGTGACAGATATATATATGGATAGAGATAGATGATAATGATAGACAGATGATAGATAGATAGATAGATAGATAGATAGATAGATAGGAAGATGATAGATAGAGATAGATTACGATAGATAGATATAGAGATAGATGATAATTAACTAGATAAATAATAGATAGACAGACAGACAGATAGACAGACGGACAGACAACATAGATACATTGAGACAGAGGATGTGAATGAGGAGAACACTGAGGGTCAAGGACTCGGGCTTTAGACTCAGCTCCCAGCATAGTGACCCAGGTATATATGGAAGCCTCCAGAACATCTTCAAAGGTCTAAGAGGTTTATGCTGACTGGCACGGCTGTGTGGCCTGCAGCAACTCACTCTACCTCTCTGAGGTTAAATTTGCTCCTATGCTAAGTAAGCTTCTTGACAGTGGGAGTGAGGGGTCAGCAGGGTCATGAGATGAGGCCTGAAAAACACCCATGTGGAGATGGAACGGGCAGAGAAAAATAGCTCACTGGGACGTAACTCCCTCACTTGCTATCTTCACCGGCAGTCGGCTCACTGAGATGTAACCACCTCACCTGCCATATTCACTGGCAGTCGGCTCACTGAAACGGAACCGCCTCACCTGCCATCTTCAGCGGCTTGTTCTCTTCTGATGTGAGAAAGGCCCTCAGCTCTGCCTCCCTTCGATGGCAGGAGCTGACACTTGTTCTTACAGCTGCCCAGCATCCTTCCTAATATGTCTGTCCGCATGAGACAGATGAATGCACCTATATCCCCCAAGCAAACCTGTCCCTCCCTGCCTCGGCAGGTCCCACCCAGGGCTAATCTCAAAAGCTGTTGGTGAAGTCAGGCCAGGCCTGGGGCTGCCGGCCTCAGCTTAGTCTGTGATGTGTGTCTAGGGGAGGATGCTAGCATGGGGTCCCAGCCCCGTCAACACAGTAAGCACTTACGGGTGGGGTATCTCTCATGGCGGCAGGCGAGGCGGAAGTCTTCGTCTTCACTCACATCCCCCTTCTCAATCCTGGAAAGAAATAAGAACACCACAAAGCTGGAAAGAGGGGACAGGCAGAGCTGTGGGCACCCAGGGCCAGAGGAGCACAGTGCCCACTTTCTACCTGTGCCCACAGATCTTTACACAGGCCCTACGAGATGGATACCACTTTCCCATTTATGGATAAGAAAATGAGGCATTCGGGGGACAACTAAAACACAAACTATCAGTGAGCATTCACATGGCTAGGACACACACACACACACACACACACACACACGGAGGATAGGGAGGGAGAGGGAAGGGAAAGAAGGAGAAAGAAAAAGGGGGAGTGGAGGGAGAGAGGGAAGAGGGAGAAAGGGGATCATACTATACACATATATAAGAAAAATAAAGTCCTGCCAGTAGGTTGGTTGTTGTCAACTCCTGGCTGAGCCCAGTGGGTCTCTGCTTGGCTATTGATGGAAGCCAGCCATTAGGAGTTTTAAACCCCTTGTGGGCTAGCCTCGCACTCTCTCCTCATTTCCTCCCTTCCTCCTTCCTTTCTCACACAGTGCCAGAACCCGGCCTTCAGTTCTTGAAGCAACTATAGAGGCATTAGTGTTGTTATTATGAGCATAGCAGAGACCACAGTGTAGTGGCTGCTATCACTAATACAGCAATGACCACTGTGTCCACCAACACATAAGGAAAATGAGGTACAGGGTAGCTGGGAGCTGTAGGGTCACACTGCCTTGTCACTGATGAACTGAACACCACAATTCGCCCCCACCCCAGCCCCAGTGTACCAGGTCTCCAGATGTCCAAAGTCTCTCTGCCCCTGTATTTTCCTGCTAGAAGCAGACACTCAGCCCCAAAGGGCTGCAGAAGGGTGGTCAAGCCCTCACCCCAACCGGCCTTAAGGCGTAACCCTTCCCTTTAAGGCACAAGCTCTGCTGCAGCCCTACAGAGCCTGTGGATACGGCGCTTCGCTGGAGACTCTGCCAGAACGGACTCTGTGAGAGGAAACCCGCTCTATAGAAGGGCGGCACAGGAGGCTGAGGCATAGAGATCATGAGTTGGAAAGCAAGGCACCACCATCTCAACGAAGGTTAAGAGGAGGAAGAAGAAAAGTGAAGCAGAAGAACGTGGTGCCGAGACCCAGCAGGCTAGGCCTTGACTCCCAGGTTGTCAGGTCCGGTGCCACCTCAGCCTCCAAGCCCCTGCTGTCCTCACACAGCGGCTGCTCCGAGTCACAATACCCCCCCCCCCCCCAGGGACTTCAAGCTCTTGTTTGAAAACAGCTGCAAATGTCACAAGGTGACCCATCTTTGATTTGAGTAGAAATTTCCTGGGAGATACATCGCCCTGTGTTCACCTTTTAAAGAATGGCAGGCGCTGTCGCAGGAGACCTAGAAAGTACCATCAAGAGCTGACAGGGCCTCTGTGGAACCTGTATTCTGGCGGGTGGCAGGCGGGACCGGGCACCTTGGATGTGGCATATGCACCCTTCTGGGCCTCAGGTCCCCTGGGTTGTGTCTCCACCTTGTTCTGATTGCTTAGATTTGCAATGTCCCTCGTCCTCCCCTCTCTTCCTCCCTCTGATGAGTAGATAAATACTAGCTTTTGCTTAAGGCTGTGGCCAGCGCTGGACAAATTCATCAGTTGGTCCAGAATTTCCATCACCTCTTGCCCCGTAACTGTCAGTCGTCCCTCATCTCAGCAGCAGCACACTCTGTCACTGTGAAGGTCCAGTCACACTGTCACTGTGAAGCTCCTGTCACAGACAGGCACTTCTTTGCCATGTTGGCCCGTGTGCTCTTCTTCCACCCCAGTTAGCTCTCTTGCTGACATTTGCCTCAAGATTCTTGGCTTTTGTTTGTTTGTTTGTTTTGTTTTGAGACAAGGTCTCATTACATTAGCTGGTGTTGAACTTGAGATTCTCTCGCCTCTGGCCTCCTGAATGCGGATGACAGACCTGCTCTTCCTTGTTTTGAAGGCAGCAAAGGAAAGACTTAAAATTGGCAAGGCTCTGGTCCAGGGTCAGTGGACCCACAGGCAGCTGCAGCCTCCTGCCCCAGAAGCCACTGAGTTACTCTACCTGGGCCCAAGGGCAGTCATAACTGAAGCTGAGAGCCGTATCCTGAAAGTGAAGGAGTCACAGGGGAGGGTGGTAGTGCAGAGGTGCCAAGACTACCCATATCTGGCTCTCTAAGAGGAAGAAGAGGCCAGAGCACTGCAGACCTCTGTGGACCGAGTTTTCTCATGTGGCCAGACAGACGGGGACCCATTATCAGCTCTGCCTCATTCCCTCATGCTCTCTATTGCACAATGCCCCATCAGCGCCATCCTCAAAGCCAGCTTCCTTTCCCTGACCCAGTGTTTCCAGCCACTGCCTCCATCTGACCTATCTTTGAGAAAGGCTTCTTTCCTCTCTGTTTTCAGCATGCCTTGAACACCCTCCCCACCAATCACCCCTGTGAGTGTGCACAGATGGGCTTGAACCTCCCAGCAATGCCAGCTGAAGAGCCTGCACCGGCGCCATGTCTTTTCTGTCGCTCTGACGGTGTTGGCAAACAGCACTGGTCTACAGGTGACACTTTGAGCAGCTGCCTGTCTGCTGGCCCTTGCTGGCCACATCGCCTCCTGGGATCCTGAGAGTGGCTATCTGCTCTGTTTCGCAGTCTAGTGATTCCTAAACTTAAAGGGCACAGATGCCACCTGAAGATGTGACTATGAGACTCTGAGAGGCAGGTCTTGAGTGTAGGGCTAGACTATGCTTTTCTCACAGGCGCCATGGAAGCCCATACGGTGGTCCCCAGATTCTGGTTGAGTCTCGGAACATCTGCTAAGCCTGTGTCTTAGGCTTTGCAGAAAGGAAGTCGTGGGGCAGGGACTCTCTCCAACACTTTCTCTCCCCAGCTCCTAGAAGTAGATCGGGGGTTCAGGAGGTGGCCATTTCTTCCAGATGTTGTCTCCAGATGTTCCTCCCACCCTTCCTCCATTGTTTCCTGCCTTAAGGATTACCCTCTGCTCTCTGCCTTCCCTTCCAGTGCTGCTGTAGATCAGCAGTGTCGATGATGTCATCCTTGGAGCAGGGTGAGGATGTGGTTGTCTCCTGGGTGTCATCCCTAAAACCTGGGGACCACAGTCCTCCCAGGAATAACAATTTTAAGGGTACCCCAGCCCAGAGCAGTAGCTGCAAGGAGTCACTGGGAAGTCCCATCAAAGCCCCTTCAAAGGAATATGGGAAGGTAGAGCCAAGACTCAGAAGTCACAGATCCAGGAGACACTCTCAGAGGACAAAGAGCACACTGATTTTAAATGACCAATTTAGAAAGGAATGAAGGATAGAATTAGAAGGAATAAATGACCCCGTAGATAGCAAATTAAGATTCCATAACATTCCACCAAAAGGGCAGTTGCAAGAAAGGGGGAAGTAGATGGGTTTTAAAAAGATGTTATTTTCTACTTTTTTCTCCTTTCTTTTGCATGATAGAGTCATTTGGAATGTAACAGGAAAGAGCAGTTCCCCACAGTGCTCACACTCTGGCCTGGTCTTTAGGGGTGGTTAATTTTGTCTCGTTTCTACAAAGAGGCCTGCAGATGCCTTGTGAATGACAAGGGTAGAAATCATTCCCCCGAAATACAGGAACTCCCCAGTGTCAGTCCCATCAGATCACCAATTCTCCATCACACCTTCAATCTCCACAGGCTTCCTCCCACCACAAGGCCCCAAGGACAGTGTGATGACCTTCTTATTTGTAGGAGAAGACCCCTCCACCATCATGGGGAGTGCTTCCACAGAGGAGGGACACGGCAGTCATCAGGCAGGGATGCCTGTGGTATGATCATGCATTCCTGCTCGAATGCCCAGAGTGCACGCAGATCAAAGACCCTGGGCAGGAAAAGAAGCAGGCAGAACACATGGGACATTTCCATGATGTTCTGGGGACCCTGGAAGCCCAGTTAGTGATCTGGATAGAAAGGTGGGTTCATTATTCTGATCACATAAGAGTGTTACGGAGCAATGGCTGCTGGAAGAATAGATTCTAGAGTCACAAAATGGCCAGGAAGACGTGAGGGGATTGCTGGATTCACCCAGGTGAGTATGAGGTGACTCAGCCTTACCCCAGTGACCAAGGGTGGAAGTGGGAGGAGAAAACTACAGTCACTCCCACTTATCTACCGGAAGCACCCCGAGACCCCAGTGGGTCCTGAAGCCCAGGACTTTGCCAAATCCTATACAGCAGACTGTTTTCCCTCTGTACAAACCCATGAAAAAGTTAACTCATAAATCAGGCACAGTGAGAGAGTAACAACAAGATCTGGTAATAAAACATTAAAAACCTTTATTTCAAGACATAATCTCACTATGTAGCCCAGGCTAACCTTGAATACACAATCTTCCTGCCTCCATCTCCCAAGGGTTGGAATTCTAAGTTTGTGTCTAGCTAAAAATAAAAGCACCGAGAACAAGAAGAAATTTTAAAAAAACTATTTAAAACTTGGTCCAGGTCTTTAATTCTAGCACCCAGGAGGTGGAGGTAGGTGCATCTCTACGTGTCCAAGCTAGTCTGATCTACAGAGAGAGTTCCAGGCTAGCCAAGGCTATAAAGTGAGATGCTGGGGGGGGGGGGTATTTAAAGCTTATGGTGTGATGGATTCTGTAAGTTTCCATGTGTTTCTGTGGCTCCCTAAAGCTGCAGAAGGGGCATGTAGTGAGGGATGCTGTGGGGGTTTAGTCACCAGGGAGTGGAACTGTTTGAGAAGGATCAGAAGGATTAGAAGGTGTGGCTTTGTTGGAGGAAGTGTGTAGGGGGTGGGATTGGAGGTTTCAAAAAGCTGACACTAAGCCCAGTGTTTCTGTTTGCTGCCTATGGATCAGGCTGAAGCTCTCAACTACTCTTCTAGTGCCAAGCTCCTGCCATGCTCCCTGCCATGACAATCAAGGGCTAAGCCTCTGAAACTGTAAACCTGCCCCAATTAAATGCTTCCTTTTGTAAGCATTGCCTTGATCATGGTGTCTCTTCACAGCAAAAGAGAGAGGG